TTATACACGAGGAGCTGGTGTTGAAACAAGTTCAATCGTTGTATAAATTTTTAAGTATATTCAACTATTTGTTTTATTTAAACTACTAGATTTTTTCCACCGTCAAACGCGGGATTAGAATATTTGTAAAATCATAATTCAAGATTTTATTTATAATACATAGAAAGAATTACAGATAACGATAAATTTTTCATATAGATAAATATATCTTATCTTACAAATTTAATTTGCATGATATTTAGATTAATGTAAACGTTTTTGAAGCATTTTGTAAACGCTTTTTATGAAAAATCGAATACATTTGAGATTATTGTTTCTTTTCAAACTTATTTGAGTTTACCAAAAAAAAAAGCGTTAATATGTAAAATTATTTTCAAAAAAAAAATCAAAGAAAGAATAGAAAAGTGAAAATGATATTTTCAAGAATTTAAACATTAAGGTTTGATTTATAAAGTTGTAGGTTTATAATAAAAGTGTAACTTTAATTAGAGTAATATGGATTAAGCAAATATAAAATAAAATATAACTGTATATGATCAATCACATCTGGTATCCAAATGGATATTATTACAATTTATATCAAGTAATTGATATCGATAAATAATTCATCACTGAAACATTTGTTATATAAACTTTTAAAATATTACATTTTAGTTGGATTTATATTCGATATTATCAGCAATATACTCAACGTCAAATGCATCAACATCTTACGATCAAGGATGAAAATATTAAATTAAGATATGCAATTGCATTTAGTTTAGAAAATATTATACTTTAGTACACACACTAGATCAAATGTCGAAATACACTACTAGACATAAAAAAATCTACACATATCTTTTGGAACCATGCCCTGAACTCTACCCGTAAAGACTTTGAATCCTTGTGAAGGTAGATCTTTTGCAAGCTCTCCATTAAAGAAGGTGTCTTTTGAAACAATAAAAAAGCTTGTCTTCACTTCCTAGTTTCTTTGTGATTAGTTATATTGACATATATCTTTCAGAATCTCCAACTCACAAAGCCTAATATTCTTTCTCTCTGTTGCATATTGACATATGTCACAAAGAAAATTCATGATGTAATATCTTGTTCTCCATTTTCTTCAATGCCTTTGTGATGTTATATTTAAGATGCTCATGCTGAAAAGTTCCATCAAGCAACATTGTTTGAAGATCGAGAATCACGAATAAATGGAAAAAGTTGAAGAACAAGACTATATTACTTGTTTAGTAATAAAAAACCAATGAACGTATTTTCGTTTTAACTAGTTTTGGTTCTTGTTTGATTCGATTTCATATTTACTATTACCGAACGATAACTGTGCACATAAAATTTCCGATTGTATCTAAGAATTTGAAGTCTAAGATGTCGTTTGAAAATCGATGAGATCATAAACCTCTAAATCAATGTTCATCATAACATTTAGATTAAAAAGTTTGTTTGGTTTATGATTAAATATTAAATTGCATGTCAATCCAGATAAAGTTGCCCTCATAAGTGGGAATAACCCGCGGCGTTGCGGCATATTTCCTAGCTTGTTCCCACACACCGCCATCAGAATCTGCTTCCTCGGAATCCTTGTGAAACCAGGTCTTGTGCCATATCTTCATTGAAAAATTTGTCATTCGAAGCATTGAAAATCGCGGTCTTCCCACTGCTGAACTTTCTTTGTGATAAGGCCAACTCCCCTGAATCCTTAACGATTTCTAGCTACGAGAGCTTTCTCTTCCGTTCCTGTGCTACAAGTCTTTTACACTCACGACATCGAGGCTTCCTTGAGTAACAAATGATGATCTCACAAAACTTTCCCAGATACACCAAATTGCGTTGATATTCTTCAGTGGGTTCTGCCATTAGATAAGCCTTGATCTCAGGGTACCTGAATTTATCCTTCATCACCTCCTCCACAGCGTTTGTGATGTTGGTTCTGAGAAATCGAGGTTGGAAATATCCATCAAAATCCATAGTTTGGAGATCCAGAACGACACGTAGCTCTCTCGGTTCAGTGAGACCAGTTGGCCTTCGCACAACTTTCTTAGGAAATTCCCACCCACCGCCAGAAACTTCCTCGGAATCCATTGATACTTGACCGAAGTGAACCGTAGTTCATGATGATATTGTCGGGTGTAGGAGAGACAAAAAGGAGAAGAAACCCTAATTTTTTTTCAAAAGAACCCCATAGTTTGTTTTAATTACGAATTTTAAAGAGAACAGAAGAGACCCTAAAATATTTTTCAAAGGAACCCCATAATTCATACTAAATTACGAAGTTTGACTATTTGACTTGATGAGACAAAAATAGACCCTTGGGCAAACGGGAATTCAAAATAGGAATTCTCGGAAAGAGGGATGGGACGAAAATTTGGGAATCAGAATACTTGTCCCATTCATGTTCCATATATAATTTGGGACGAGACAGGGACGGAACGGGAATTTCCGAAAAAATATGACAAACAAAAATTGTAAAATATAAATTACGTCCATCACATAAATCCATGACAATAGCAAAATTAAATGAAATAAATTAGAATCATAAGAAATCCAATATATCAAAATATCGTTTAAACTTCAAATCCATGGTACTAACAAAATGCAATTGAATAAACTAAAGTCATAATAAAATTAAACAAATCAAAATAACAATACTAACATAATCGTGTTTACAACAAAGACA